AAAACGCGGGAGAATATTTCAGACAAAACGACGAAGCATCAACCCTTGTTCATGTGGTACCCGAAACCCAGTTTGCCAACTAATCATACGTCAAACATAATGACTTGGAAGAGTTGCGTTAGATTTGCGAATCCCTCTCTATATTAGGTGAGCACTAGCTCGTCAAGGTTATTCGTATAACCAAACTATAAACGATGTGGTCCAAACGTGATGAAAGGGTGTTTGGAATTTGGCATTAATTACGCATCAAACCGACATCAGAATTGCGTCTGAAAGCGATCGAAGCCAGACCACCGTTGGCTAAGGAAACAAAAAGCCAAGAAGATTTTGTCGTCAGCGCGGATGTCTGCAATATTGAACGAAAACTCAGTGCAGCTCCAGAGCCGTCAAGAGAAGAAGAAGAAACAGGTAATCCGCCGTACTTTGCCTCCAAAGGATTAGGACCTGGTTGCACTGCGCGCCAGTCCGAAACTTCCCATAGGCGGTAGACCAGGAATACACCAAAAAACTAATGTTGGCCGGCCCCATGAGGATCAGCGTACATTTGTAAGAAACCTTTGTGTTCAAGCACGTTTCTGACATCTGTAGCTCTAAAATATTTGTGTACAAACGCAAAATGCTTTCTCAACAACCTGTCTGAGCCTCATTTTCGTCAAGCCTCAATGCCTTTGGAATGCCATAATAGCAACCGAAACCTGGCTAAACGACGTGATTACCGACGCTGACATCGCCATACCTGGTCTGTGATCCTTGTGCAACGACCAACCTACCAGGAGAGGCAGTGTAAAACTTAACTACTGGTCCGCCCTACATACCAACTGTATAAATTACTCAGTGCTTCAAACCATAGTCTCCTTATGGTGCCTTCTTAACTTAAAACAGGGCAAAAGGTGACCAGTAGTCATTGTATACCGCCCAAAATCGTCCACTTGAGAAATGGACCAGGCTGTGGCCTCGGCTATAAAGAACCACGATCTTACAGTTATGTAGGCCTGGTAAAGAACCCAACCTGCACGCCCTAGAAAATCCGACCACATTTAGCGGGTACTTTAAGGCCGAGTTGCAATAGCCAACCGCTGATTCTCTGCTGTACAAACATGTCGCCTCTCCAACGGGTTTCAGGAAAGGAAACAAACCGACCATCTTTGGATTTCATATTTTACCAACGAGTAACTAATGATCGACGTAGTGAAAACGAGCACTCCTTTGGACCGCTGCGATCACGCTACGCTAGTGTTCCTTTACAGGTGTTACGCAGAATATCTTAGAGAAGATACCAAAGAATCTTACGTCCTAAACAACTAGGACAAGTTGTCTGACCTCGTTAGTGCAACAAGCTGATCTTTCCTGGCCGGACGGCCCCCTGAGGTGACATTAGAGGGAGTTGTCAACAGACTCAACAGGCCCTTGGTTAGCATTTCAGGAACCAGAACCCACCGACCTAAAAAGATGAAGTCGTTCCTAAGCAGCTTGACTCGCAAATGCATGACGTTGAGGGAATTGGCGTGGCCGGTCCACATATCTTCTCCAAAGGAGGACGCCTGGGATGTCTATATAACACAAAGGAACCACTCTGTCAAACTCTTCTTGGAGGATACAGTAAATTAGCAACAAGATCTTGTGCTAAGATTGTGCTCCAACCCCAAGCTCCTCTACGGACACGTAAAGAAATTTTGTAGATTTAGGAGTGAAACTCTTGTTCTGCACACAACACGCCGGTTAACGCAAACGGCACATGAATCGGCCAGTGTCTTGGACAACAATTTAGCTATACCTTCCAAAGTGTGCAATCATTTTAAGTCCTGTCTACACGGATCATGCTGCTGTCAAGACTTTATCACATATCCCTTACAAACACAGATGTTCTGAAGCGCTCCTGCGTCCATACAGGTCGGCTGGTCAGACAGTGTTCGTCCAAAGGCGTTGAAAGCAGCTGTCATTAGGTTAGCTAAGCGATTAGCGATATTCATTCGACGATGTCTTAATGGGATGCAAGTCCACACAATATGGAAGCACGGGATCATCACTCCGATAGACAAAGTTGATAGCCGCGCAGAACCAGCAAATGATCGCCCGATAACCTCACTCCCGGGGATCTCCAACATCATGGAGTCAATTGTCACCGAGGTACTCATTGGGTAAGTAGAGAGTAAGAAAATTATCACTTCGAAACAAGACGAATTTTTCCACAAGCGGCCATTTACTATAATCCATTGCTTGCTCGTGCATGCTGGACGGAAGCTGTGCATGCTGCTGCAGGAGTTGATGACGACCAGCTAGATTTCTTCGAGGCAGTTGACCGACTGGAACACGGCATCCCAATTCAAACGCTTCAGAATCATGGACACGGCTATCCCGTTCTGGGCCAGATATGAAACATTCTCGTTCATAGGCACATGAACCTAAAGGTACGCGGCACCCAGTCCAAACAAATCGAGGGACAGTGCGTCCTTTCGACGCATGTAATCAGTGCCCCGAAGTTATTCCTATTAAAAATTCACATTGGCGATACCCCAACATATTTACACTGTGATAGAGCCTATGAGCATCAGATGTCATAATCCTCTTAAACTCCAGGTAGTAATAATCCTAATTGTGCTACTATAAACCTATTTGTGCGTCAGTTATCTCTATCTTTCTTTTACCAACACTGCTTTTTTGTCTTGTAATGTTTCCCCTAACCTTCCTGCAGGACTTGTCAAGCCGTCGCTTTTATACCCATTAGAAACCACTGCTCCATTGCAAAGTCCAGGTTGGCGAATTTGTCTCACCAAAGCCTCTAGTAACATTTGATCATTTTGATTATACCGGTCACTCATTCCACCACACGCGACAGCTTCAGCTTATGTAACACGGAGCATAGAGCATGATTGTCAACATGGACGAACACGAAGCTTCCTCCATTTATTTATTTATTCCTAATAACGGTGATTATTGACCACTTCAACCTCCCTACTCTGGCCACTGCGGTGTCGTACGCACAATTCACGGGTAATTTGTGATCATTCACTTTTGAAAAACCTATACGTTCAGCACTGATTGACTCAATCTAGCATTTTTACAACATTTTGAAAATTTAATGTCAAAAGCGTCTTATAAAGCTGTGCCATGAAAGCCAGTTGCGCAACTCATGCTGGTCGCGCTGTTCCAACGAAAACTGCTTCTACGACTTACCTCACCCGAACACAACCCATTGTCAATTGGTGTAGTAAGAAAGTCAAGCTTCGCACTCGTTTCTCAGACGTCGTCAATGTCTTGTATCCGGGAAAAGGTTAAAACATAAAGGAAAATCATTATTTTAACAATTAATCGATTAGCTTCGAACGTGCATTGATTTTGAAGATTCCGGAACCCTTCATTCCTTCACGTGACCGCCAGTAAACGGAGTTTTGGCAGGGCGGTTACTACCTTTAGCAGTTGACCTACGTTTTCTAGAATCCGAACGTCATTGAGCCCCCTATAGATTTGGCGTAGGTCTGACGTAGTTGTACAGCGTTTTGGCGGCATTTTTGTCAAATTGGCATCGGTTTTGTTAACACGTTTTTCGTGGTCAAGGTCGTTGGACTTCCAAATTTTTCTTCGGCTGGGCTAGAATTTTTGCGGAAACATTTTTGGATGTTTAATTGGGAATAGCGAGAAAAAGTGAAAGTCTAACACCTGGTATTTCCTTTTGCGCGTTCTTTCACGTTTCCGTTTTCACGTGTTCTCTTGCAAGCTTTTCGCAAAACGCAAAAAACACAACGTTTTGAAAATAATAAAAACTTATGGGGACCCCCGGAAAACCAAGTTTTTTCCATTACTTCTTGTTTGTCTGTAGCCATACACTTAAGTTACTATTTCTGGTTTTACTTTACAAGCGCATGCCGTCGTTTGCCTACACGTCTGCAATAAAATCTTGAGTCTGAACCTCAGACAAAACGATACACACTCTTAAGTAGTAGCTCTACACCCTACTAACTTTTCCTTTAAAATGTTCCTATTTTCACATCGCAGAGAGGACGCAGTGAGAGCCCGATTGGATCCTACCAGATTAGTGTCGCTGGCAGCTGCATCATGCGTTATGGTGTTCCGTCCTCACCCAAGGCTAGCTAGTGGATTTTAACGTAGCCAGAAGGACAGATTACACTATTATTTCTGGAGAAAGGCTACGTAGTAGTCGCTGCCTACCCCAATTTGTCTGGGTTCGTCGTGTAAAGTCCTAACTACACCTTCCACTTCATGGTACACTTAGACGATCTGTGTTGAAACCTGAATTGCATGTTGAATTATTTTCAAACAAACACTGACTTTTGCTTGTCGTCTAGGCTTGTTGAACCTCTTTACTTCTCCTAGGCAGTAACACGTCTCATAGTTGTCGGTTGATAATTGGTACACATGGATATTTTATTGCATCGATGCACCTTTAGGAGTCCCAGTTTGGAACTCCGCTGAAAGGTAAAGTGATAGCCAGCGTTAGTTTAAACTTTTCCATGATTCAACTGTTTAGCATGATACCAATACTGACACGACTGTCATCATATTGCTTGTACTTTGTTTGGGTCATTTGCGAGCATTATACAATATTGAGTCGGTCCGCACCCTGTTAAGCTTTTGGACCAGCAGTTCGGTTGATTTTAAGAAAATACTACCGTTCCAGTTAGAAACAGTCCAAGTGGAAAGTTTCCCTTAGTTTAAGTTAACAGCGTGTCCTAAGTTATTAAAGGTGCATCTCATGTTAGACAGTGTTGTAGCTAAACAATAAAAGGATTCCATTTAAGATACAGAGCGGCAGAGTCGATTGTGGAAGTTTTGCGCTTTAGTTTATATTTACGTCAGCAATGGCTGGAAACTGCGAATTCTGAGAAGCATATTCTGAAGACAATAGTAAACTTTTTGTGACATGGATGTGATGACCATGCGGGTGTTTGATTAACGCTTGGAATGACGCAAATGCAAATAACTGGTGTGCTAGCGACCAGTGGGGTGCAAAATGGATGACATACACTCATACCGCAACTCACCTTGAGCCAACCCATGTAGAAGAAGAAACGAAGAAAACCAAAAACGGGCACATACAAGTCGATCTCATATCCAGGGTAATTTTTGCTGGGATCCAAATACTGCCACGAGAGCAGGCAAGAAATGAAGTAAGAGTATACGACGATTGTGGCGGTCTGTAAAAGACAATAAAGATATCGCCTGTGCTAGATAAATGTATTCACTGGTCGTCGAATAGAGTTGAACAAGACAGTGACACCGCATTCCGTTCGGATGCATAGTAAATCTCAGCGTACTGTGTACCAGCAAATAGATTTGATTCACCACATACTTGAAAACGACGGTTAACATTGACTACACAAGGCATCATACACCGAGGAAGCAGGTATGATTAATGACATCCATTGCACATTTGATAAAAATGCTTTTTCTTATTCTGGACTCCACTTTCTTTCCCCTGCTCTGTCTTCTCCGTGAAATCTAAGGGGCCTGACCTGACTGTTCAATCACATCATTTATGGGTCAGCAGAATGGATCGGAGTAAGTGAGCCCTGGGTAGAATAAACTGTTATCGTCTCTTGAGGTGAGACAGGATTTAATAGTTAGTTTCCCTCAACAATTTGAAAAGCGCAGTGAGATGACGAATGGTCACTTTAGCGCAAATCACGTTAATCGGAAAGTAAATATCTATTAGGCGGTACAAAATTACAGACAAACAAAAGGGAAATACGAGAACACATCCGTATGTCCAATGTCCCCTGAGGCTGGCCGAGAGTTGCTGTTGAACATAAACACCGGTCTGCTCTTATTTATCCCAGCAGCCTCGGTGGAACAGAGGAGACTGGAATTAGTGTACGACAGCGAAAGTTTGAACGACTTGCTGATCTCGATCCGGCGAACAGAGATCAGTAAATGTCGGCCGATGCTGACGGCCTTTGTGAACGCGTAACCTTAGCTGGACATCCTGATGGCGCCGTCTCGTATTGGGTCCAGTTTGGGGCTTGCTCCTCTACGCTGGAGTTTGCTTCGTCGGTCCTGCACGGGATTTGTCCCCCATTGCCCATTAATTATTAGCGTGCGTGGCGGTGACGTATGAACATCTAGTAGGGTATACAGACGATTCTCAATTTTACGCATGAGCAAGGGATGTTGCTACAATTAACTGAGGTTCATCGTAGCCAGCTTCCAAATATGATAGCCGTCCACATGCTCGGAAAAGTACTAGATTCTCAGATTATTCCCTAAAGTAGCTAGCTCTGTTTAACTTCCAGTACTAATGATGGACTGTGGGATAAATAGACTCTTTGACTCTTAGCAAACGGACATAAACGGGCAGTCTGAACGTATGCTATTAAAGCACCCGAGTCTGACCTATAGTGCAGTGACAAAAGGTAGAAACATGTTACACTTCGGGAGGTACAAGCCTCAAGCAAGCAATGTTCGTGGTTGTCCGAGTAAGTAAAGTAAGATATCCAAACAGGCTGGAATTAGCACAATTCACAATAGCTGTCCTAAGGTTTTGGTTACTCTACCATTCGCAAGGGTAGCAGTGATGCTTGGTCCGGCGATTTTACGTTGAATGTCCCTAAAAGGATGAAGTTATTATTCGTAGAGTGTGAACCTCAGCTAATGCTGTTGACTAGTGGATTGATTGGTAACTGATGGTACACGCCTTGTATAGGAAACCTTGTAGGGTAGGCAACATGTTTTACCATAGTAAAGCCCACATTACCGACAGTCCATTGAAACAGTGGCCACTAAGGGTCTGCGGCAAAACACTGATGCGAATCTCCAAGTGACCGTGTTTCATGCTTGTTTCATTGCCTGCTTCGCACTTTGGACATGCATTTCTTTACTGTTTGATATAACTTGCCCCAGTTTGATGCCTGAGTGGTTATATCAATGACCGTTTATTGAGCATTTCGTTTGCAAGTCATTGAATGGCGTTGGCACATTACTCTTCGGAATTTGTTGAATCAACGGACTAAAGCTACACCTGACCGCGTTACGTGGCTAAATCTTACAAGTGTTACCCATCTTAGGGCAAACGGCACAATGGCCAAATCCACAAAGTCCAGTGGCCGGCTGCCTTATCAGCGCTCTACATTTCACCTTCGCTCAAAAGTTTAATCACTGACCGCGCTTTGAACAAAATTTATTCTCATTCACATTACCACCAAGTTGGACAGTTTATAACTTTTTAAAACATTCACGTTTTACGGAACTGTACTATTTGTCTGACCTACATTCCTTTAGATTGTCACTACCTACTCAACACACCACTTGATCCGCACGCAGACGTCAGAACAATAGCTCTAGGTCATCCATAGATAACCTCTACCCATCAGCACGCTGCCGCGCCCAAACAAGTAACAAGCAGGGGTGATTGAGGAAGTGCATGATCACGCACACACACACACAGTCACAAAAAGGGGAATACAGTAAAACCGTAAGTTAACCACTCAAGAGACAACCAAAGTGATCCACGAGGAGACGTGGTCAACAAATAGAGCTCTAGCGCAAACTTTTGCGTACCTTACTTGGCCGGCGGGAGCAGTCAACTGAAAACTATTTTCATGCACATCCTGTTGAGATGAACTCTGACTTAATGTCCAACACAGTTCAATCATCCTGCATTATAATAATTCTATACTCAGTATGGTTTCTACAAAGTTTAATCACTCACTGAAAAATTTCAATCTTTGTCTTTTTCTCTTATCAGGAATAGAACTTGGCGCACTAGATTAAGACTATAGTTAGTAGACGGTTAGACAAGCGCCCAAGCTTCTGGTCGCGATAGGTACAATAAGTGGACAGATATTCAGAAGTGTGCGCGCGCTGGTAACTGTTCGTGGGCAGGTGAGGAGAGGGTTCACACAAAATCGGTCATCAATCTGTCCAAGGATATGTGGGGGCACATTGTACAAGGTGATCCCTCATGCTCGCAAACACTGAGGGGCGCGACAATAATACACGCGGGTACCCAGACAGAGGACATTCTATATCGTCAAACGTCTGTACAGCCGTAAATTGGTGTTTGTGAGTCAGGCGAATTACACACAATACAAAATCTCACTGCTTACTTATCTGAAGGATTGAGTCGTTCGGCGTCCATTGCAATGTGGACCTATAAATGTTCTAGTTACAGAGATTAATTTAATGATGACTACTATAGCAGAAGTGCTCAACATTCAACTTATGGAAGTGCTCAACATACAGAGGTCTGATTCCACAAGGTTTTCATGGTGAACGTTCAAACTATGAAAAAAATGGATAACAGTGTGACGTTCAACTTCGGACGTATTACTTGCTCACCTAGTGTTAAGACGCAACACGTCTAAGTGGATGACCGGAAAACCGACCGGCATGTCTGCATCTGCATTTCTAAGTGGTCGTCGTTAACCGCCTCGGCACTGACTTGGACAGGCAGGCGTTCTACAAGCACACGATGTGAGTTCCTCACTTTTTTGAGCCATATTTATCTGTCCAATAGTATCATCGACATTAGTGTTTAACCCATTGGATTTTTATCTAGTCACTAGTTAAGTTGCGATAATAGACATAATCTTCATCTTAAATTAAGGTGTTGACAATTGCGATTGACTATAACGATTCTGTCAGGGAAACCAAAAGTTTTCCTCTAGCTAAGCTAACCCGATTTCTCGTCAGCTTCTCGGATACCACAGAGAGGCTATATGCCGGAATAGACAAAATCCACTCTACCCCGTATAGAGAGGTCGATTTAGGAGGAGACTATAAAAGAGGATAGGTTACATGTGCGAGCCTTGTCAGCTTACGTGATAATGCTTCTTCGAAAGTACTCATTCTTTAGCCACAGCTCAGTTTGCGTGTCACACATGAATCAGACACTGCAACGTGAGATGCCCACATTATGCTGCCCTGTACTGCTGAACCAATGTCATTTGGGTACCGGTCGAAGGCAAAGAGAAACCATAGCTTAGACATACGCGTACGATGACCTGGGATACATTCAAAATTTTACTGGACAAAGTAAATTTGATTGGAGCATTGAGTTCATTGAGTGGTTGAGAGCAGAAGGGAGGTCCGGTGTCAGCTCCTTCACTTCCCGGCCTTCCAAGGATTGCAGGCCTAGTAGCTATGGCATAGCTGAAGATGTAGTATCAGTCCTGCAGGATCATGGTGTACTCAGTAGCAAGATGTCTAGCAAACGTTTGAAACTCGCTTCTGACTGCGCATTGATAATCGGGTCCGACAGTCGGTTCCAGTCATTAATTACTCGAGTAGGGAGAGCAACATCTGGGTGGACTTTCAACCTGCTCGGTTTAGAAAGCTTCCAGCTGTGCCCTCGACTCGAACTGCCAAGTCTTAGCTGAAAAGCTGCCTCAGATCGTTTCCTAGTTTTCCGCTTAAGATACGCTTAGTATAGATGAAGTCTCCGCGAGGTCGGCGATAGTCTAAGGGAAAAAGCTTCATCCTCTGTAGTCGGGCGTTGTACTGGAGTTAATGTAGCCAAAGGAGAAATTTCGAGGCCCGTCGCTGAATCTTTTTGATCTTGTCACTTACATGCTTTGATAGAGGGGCTATGGCCGGAAGTCCGAATTCAAGGATTGGACGAATGTGGGAGGTGAAGAGAAGCCTAAATATCTGCGGCGTCGTCTTAGAGAATGATCTCCTTATGACGCCCCACATGCTGTTCGTTGCAGCAGTTTTCTTTATTGTGTCACGGATATTTTTATGATCAGAGGAGATTATTTTCCCCAGATCCTTTTCCTGTGTGGCAATCTTGAGCAGCTGCCTGCCAATGTGATAGATGCCCAGTGTTTCAGCAAAACTGATGGAAAGGACAGAGCACTTATCTTTGTGGACCGGCAAACCACACTTGATAGACCATGCGTATAGTAGATCAAGCTTTTCCTGCAATCGGTCGGCTCCTTCGAAACTGGAGGTCGCCTGCGTAGATCAGACCGTCCGTTTGTAGCATACTTGGTAGGTCATTGATGCATATCTTGAACAATTCCGGTACGAGAACGGAGCCTTGTGGTACGCCACTGGACATAGGCACTGGAATTATACGGGTATCGTTTAACTTGACTTGCATGTTCCGGCCTTGCAAGAAGTCACTGATCTATACTAGGAGGTTCCTTGTTATGTCATTTCCGTAGAGCCTAGAGAGTAGTTCCTGATGAGGGATTCG